CTAACCCTAACCCTAACCCTAAGTAACCCTAGACCGAATAATTCTGTCCCATATAACCTTTTTTATATTTTGGTGAGGGTTATATTGGGACAGAACGGGGTTCATTGAAATTTCGTGAGATCGCGTTGGCCATTTACAAACAATCAGACCAATCACAGCGAGTCTATCAGGCCTCCTGCAGCGCCACAGATACAAGCGAGAACCGGGGGCTATTGTAAGACTCGCTCTGTAGTAAATTACCATCGCCATTTACAAACAATCAGACCAATCAGAGCGAGTCTTACAATAGCCCCTGGTTCTCGCTTGTATCTGTGGCGCTGCAGGAGGCCTGATAGACTCGCTGTGATTGGTCTGATTGTTTGTAAATGGCGATGTAATTTAGGAAAGTTGAACGAACCGGTGTTTATGAAAAACAATCTTTTAAGAAGTGAATAACGATTGAAGTGAATATATACACATATCAGTAGCAAGGTAAAGCCATGTAGAAGGGAACGGTAGGTTTTTTTTTGCACCAATAGCGGCGTACGGGCCGCATTCTCAGCGCATGCATTTTGCATGCGATCTCACGAAATTTCAATGAACCCCGTTCTGTCCCAATATAACCCTCACCCAAATATAAAAAAGGTTAAATTTATGGGACAGAATTATTCGGTCTAAACTCCGCTTTGCTAATCTGAGGGTGCGGGTTTATCATTACTGGGGTCTGCGTCGGCTCGGACTAAGGCACTTGAAGCGTTTCAACTGTAAACACGCCGCCGCCATTGCGCGCACACTGACACATAAATATATAGTTATTGTAGATTTGCGCCCGCTGCACCTCCCTTTGAAATTTTTATAGGTGGGGCCCCAACCCCATCACGTTACCAATTCGCCGATCTCAGGAACTAGGGCATTCTGCTAGGCTAGAACGGTCTCCTACGATCGAGTTTGGCACAAAAACGAAAATAACACGCCGTTTAGCGCACTGCGCTACGTACTTCTGTTGCATTTTCTCATCTCCTTAATCAGAATAAGCCCTGCCTTCTTCGTTGATGGGCATGAATGGGGCGTCACCGACGTGACCAGTTCCTATACCGACTGTGTTTACTTTTCGTAAATAATGAAATGCCCGGCCGATGCTAGACTGGTACCCGTTCGCCACCTTCACTCCGGCAGGTATCCTTCGCTACACTGACGCTGTTAGTGTAGCATGTGGAACTGTCGACCGGGTACCAGTCTAGGCCGATGCCAAGCTGCATGCAGTGCACCTTCGTACACTCAGGATACTCGTAGATTGAGCCCATGAGTGAGAGCGCCATCTGTCGTGGAGTTTGGGCTGATGCGATACATTTTCTGCGTTTTCTGCATGATTATTATTTTGCGCAGGCACTCATTTTCGAAATCCTCCAACATTTTCACTTCTTCCATTAAGTCTATGTTTCACTGTTATTTAGGAAGGAAGGTAAAACTGTGCATTCATATAATTTCACTCTTGCTTCTATAGTATGATTTCCATAATTTTGCTCTTCTGCCCATGATAATATTTCCCTCATCATGAACCTACATTTTTCAGTTCGGACTCTTAATCTTATCATATCGTTATAACCTCCTATATCATTAATTAAATCCCCTAGGTATGAATATTTGGGGCATTTTTTGATTACTTGGTTGCCTATTAATATCTCCTTCTATAGATCTCCTTTCTTTGTTGGTGAATTTTATAACCATTCTATTTGTTTTGTTCATATTAAATTCTAATCTTTTTGATTCAGCTAATCTGGAGCATGACTGAGCAATTTTTGTTACTGTTTTATAATCTCCAATTCCTAGAATATCGTCCATATATAATCATTGTCATCTTCTAAAACTACAGACCATCCGCTGACCGCTGTGGAGACGTGCGCCGGGCCTCGAATTTGGCGCACGTCTCCACTGCGGACAGCGCTTCATACTTGAACATCCCCGCTGTCGCGTGCGCATATCCTGCGGAACTGCGCGTCTCATCCGTGCGCAGCGCTTAGGATCAACAGCAAAGCTGTGCCACGCAATCTTGTATCATGTCTCTCTGGATATGATCCGGTATACCGGAACGTACCCTGGTAACCATCTAATAATGGCGGACCGTACCTCGCCTACTCCACTAACGAGTCTAGGGAATCATCTACGCCTACTCCCTATTACCCTAACCCTAACCATATCAGATAGTTACCAGAGTACGTTCCGGCAGTACCCAGGGAGACATAGACCTTATCAGCGGCACTTGGGACAGAGTCAGTAAAAACTGGAAATGATATAAACACACACAGGGGTAGAAATTAACCTTTGAACAAGGGATTCTGCCCTCAAAAAGAGGGAGTCCGCAACAAAATGTAAATGAGGGAGTCCGCAGTCTGAAGTTCAAAACTAAAGATATTAACAATAACGCGTGTGCTTACTTTGAAGATTCATGCGGTTGCACGTCTGCCAAATTGTCTTTGGACATTTGCTGAAAAAATGGGTGTGGCCGTGGGCGAGGCGGGCTGCCTCGCTCAAATTCTCAGCCACCACACAGAAATATGTCCAAAACACCGCATCGCTGATGAAGATCGATGTTCTTCCATCAATAAACTACAATTTATTGAACTAAAATTGAAATAAAGCTTCAAACGTAAAACACAACGCTGCACAACAAACAAATGGGATTCAAGCGTCTCATACCACGTGTTCAGAATAGCTTAGAATGCACCAAATTGCACCATTTTTCAAAAAATTCCTGGGGGGCGAATGCCTTCGGACCCAACCCCCCCCCCCTAGCTGGGCGAGCACCTGCGGTGCTAACTTTGCCAGGACCTCGAATTGCGCAAACACACCCCAAAAAAAATTTACTGCCTCACAGACCTATTTGGCTAGGGGAAACACTGCTATATATATACTATATAATAATATACCAGGGTGCGAAATTAACGTGAGTCCGGATTGGACATATATATGCAGGAGTCTGTGTAACTCTCTGAAAATTCTGCTATAATAACTATAGTTCCTTCCAGAGCACGGCCTCGTGGAATTACCGTATTTTTTCAGCAATGTCCAAAGAAAATTTGGCAGACATGCAACCACATCGTGAATCTTCAAAATAAGCACATGCGTTATTGTTAATATCTTTAGTTTTGAACTTCAGACTGCGGACTCCCTCATTTTGCTGCGGAATGAGGCCCGACTCCCTCTTTGAGGGCAGGGAGTCCGTTGGACTCCCTTGTTCAAAAGTTAATTTCTACCCCTGATATACTATATAACTATAATATGCTATATAGTATATTATATAAGTATACTATATAAGTATGCTTGTGGTTATACGAGTTATAGTGAGTTGGGGTCTTCATGGTAAATGCTACACATTTTATATTTCAGCATGATGATGGAGGGAGTGGCATTAGGTCAAGTTGAAAGAAATATGCTTTTAACCAAGGAGACTGATGGTCACTGATGCCTATAGGATATACATGTACTACTCAGTCTCCTGCGTGCCATAGCTACTGTAAATGTTGAAGGCTGTGAAAACAACCAGAATGTCAGTACACGTGACCTTCCAAGTGTCAGTTGAAACCACATCATGCGATATTGTATGCGTGACTGGTTCAGTTAAAGAGCTTGGAGAGTGGGCACCTCCTCTTGCTTTTAGACTTTCTAGGAAGGAGGACAGGTAGGATGACTTAACTGGCATGTTTATGAGATCATATATGTGTGACATTCTAGCAGCAATATTCTATGTGCACACCGTTTTGTTTTAGTGTTATTTACAGTTCTTAGTTTTATATTATGTTGTTCCACTATCTTATAGTTAAGGTGGTTGCACCCCCACACAGACAACAGGTGATGTGCCTAGCTTATTGATTACAATGATAGAATAGTAAAGTAATTACATATGATAGCATGGGCTTACACTCATATGCAAACTGATATGACATTGTCTGTTAACAGTGATTTATGGACCGGTACACTAGATCTGATCGACTGTCCAAGTGTAGAGTATCGCTACATGATAGCGTCATTTGGTGAAGTAGAAAGTGAAGTTATTGTGAAAAGATGGGAAACAAACATTAAACCAAGACATCTCATAGTGTCAGGTGAGTGCAGGCATGTAACAAAGCTCTGTACCGTTTAGAGTCATTTAATACCTGTTACCAAACAGTGTGACAATTACAAGATGGTGATTCTGTGCATACCACTGACTAGTACATGTATTGCATGACATTAGGATGTTAACCGATGGGTACTAGATGTTGAAACGTGACTCTATCTCTACTTCTCTGAATGCAATAAAGTGGCAAAAGATATATACATTTATTTGCATAAATACAAAAGAAAGAATAAATCAGACATAACTACAAGCAGAAACCTAAGAACAGGAGGACAGCCTCATTGGAAAATATTCTCTATGATATATTATATGTATATATATAAAGAAAGTATGTTTATGTCATATTTAGCCGGTTGCCAAAGTGAGGTGGCCACGTTTGGTGAATACAATGATAGAGAGAGCATTGGGTATGGATGGCTTATCAGTCACTCTGAGATCCGACTAACTCTCAAGAACAACCCAATTAAGATGTGGAAGAAGAAATATCAGAGGATGAAGTATCAGGTTAAAGTCACACAAATCGACCTGCGGCACAAAGACGTAAGTTAAAGGAAGAAAAGCCTCGAAGAATGACGCCGCCCAGCGGATTGTACGTTTTCTCTATTTATTAACATTTGTTATTGATAATCACTGTGTATTCACACATACACCTGTGTGTGTCCAGATTATAAATAAAGAATGAAGGAAACCCCTTAGATACGTATACAATTATTACAATAAATATCCATCCAAGGAACTTGGTTTCACTCTTTTCTTCATGTAAAATTTCCTACATATGTGATATTTTCTGTTCATTCATGTAGCTTTTTCAATTCCATATATTACAACTGCATTCACATACGATATTTCAAATCCAGTTCTGCTGTTCCAGAGCTCCTCTAGTAACTTACTCGATACAGAGGATGATGAGGAACAAGTAGATAGTGGCACTGGTGGAACTTTACCAAGCATCACTGACCAGCAGACAGAGATTGCAGTGAGTTCAGTAATTATGCAAACACCTCGTCATGCTTTGCAGCCCTAGAGGTGAATGAAGCCCTGAATATCCAAATGACTAGTTGAAAACAGAGAGTTGGAAATGACTAGATTTTTTTTCCAAGTATGCAGATATATATTTTGATAAGGAATTTATGTTGAATCAAAGGTGGATGGGCGGTTATTTTATTTGATAAACGACATAAGTTTGTACCATATGAGGTGGCTTTGTTGCAGTTAAAATAATGTGAGTACAATGTGAACCATCTATCAATTTTATGATATGTATAAACACAATCAAGAGTACATAATAGAGATTACAATCAATAGTACTACCGGTACTACTTAAATTACAGGTGCTCACGTGTCCTGATGACTATGAATTTCGGGAACAAAATCAATTTGGACATGTCTACAATGATGATGACATCATTGTATTCCGATGTACCACATTTCATCTACTCTTTACGGTTAGTGTTAAGACGTTTTACTTAATGGCCAATAGGGTATTGTGGCTAGTATGCGTTGTGAAAATTTAGGTAAATAATTTAAAACTATGTTTTTTTGCCACCAGTGTACATGTGTGATGAATGAAGCTTGAGTTATTGTCTTACATTGTTGTTGTTTTTCTGTAATTTATTGATTCGTGAATTAACTGATGAGGCAGTATAAAGCTATATAAATATATGTTGAGTAGTGTGTTTTGATTAGATTAGTAGGTTATTATTATTTTATATTTATTGGATATTTTGCTATTATTATTATTATTATTATCATCATCATCATCATCATAATCATCATTATTATTATATCGGTATGGGGTCATATCATTTCAATTCAGCAAATGTTCCACGCAATTTTGTCTTAAATTTGTTTGAAATTTTTCAAATATTCCACCCCTCCCAAATGAACAAATCTGTTATTTTTGCTCTGTATTACAAATTTTTTTGAGACTTAGCCAAATAATAAAATATACACAGTTTGTGAAACATCCTACCAATTTAGAAACACAATTTCCCTCCTAAATAATAAACTAATGCCAGTGATAACTACTGGCAGAAAATGTTTGATCACATTCTGTGTGTTTTTAGCTCATCTGACATAGTCAGATGCAGCTTGTAGAATCGCATGATCGTCCGTCCGTGCGTGCGTCCGTCCGTTAACAGTTGGGCACAAATCTTAACCGCTCGACGTACGATCACGATATTCGGGACGTTGGGGGGGATCGTCAAAACGAGTTGGGATGTCGAAGCTGGGGGTCAAAGGTCAAGAGGTGTAAAAGAAGGAGGAACATTCCCTCCTTAACTTAATGTATAGGGAGGAAATGCAGAATTGCGGCACAAATCTAAACGGCTCGACCTAGGCTTGTGATAGTCGGTGTATAGCATCATGGTAGGAAAAGCCATCACTGTGTCGAAATTGGAGGTCACAGGTCAAAGGTCAATGGGGCACAGGGCAGATTTTAGACATTTTCTGAGGACATGGTCTGACGGAGCGATTGGAAAACTTTTTTGTTTCAGCGGTGACCTAGCATTTTTATGGCTTTGAAATGTACTTTCTGCTGACATGCGAAGAGTAAAAGTCGGATAATTTTTTGACCCTCAAGAGAAGGGTTAAAGTTAAACATGGATTTGTTGACTGTTAACAAAGGACTGAACTGCTTTTGCTAAATATTGTGGATGTGATGGAGGCTACAGTTTGCAGCAGTTCAATTGGCAAAGCGCAAATGTTTGCGTTGAAAAAGGTTTACGCTTCCTTAAATCATATTATTTTTCTAAAGCAGTCTGTATTAGGCACCCTGAGTAACACCCTGTTTAATAGCACGCTGTAATGAATCGCTGAATGCTTGGGCGTGTGTAGGCAAAAAACATGGGGGCAGCCCATTACGCACTGCATGGGGGTGAACTGGCACTATTCTAATCATAGTTATTGCCTGGCAACCTGCAATGCAGATGTAGTTAACTCACAGCTGAGCGAAATTCTCGCGCTGCCTGAATATACTTGGATTTCAGCAACTACAATGGAGTGCAGTTATCACGGCACGAAGGGTGATGCCATCTTTGATTATTGATGACACACTTGCACGCGCCATCTCGCGGCAACTGCTTTTGCTATTAGAGCCCTTTCCACCCGCCCTTCCCCCACTCTCCCCCACCACCGACACCTACGCTCGCGCTCGACGCATATCCATGATAACATGTTAATATTGCGAAGTCATTAAAGTTACACAGCTGTATCTTTATTATGTAGCTACCAGTATAGCAAAGCTTAGCTATCATAGATTTTAGATCTGTATTAGTAGGATCCTAGATATATGCTCTGAGCGGCGAACGGCGGTGATGGGAGGGTGCTCTTCATTCGTTTGCCAGTGAGTTTAGCATCAGAACACCTGCCGTCAGGTGCAGCGCTGTCGCTCTGCGCACTTGTTAGTTCATCTGACATAGTCAGATGCAGCTTGTAGAATCGCATGATTGTCCGTGCGTCCGGCGTCCGTCCGTCAACAGTTGGGCACAAATCTTAAACGCTCGACGTACGGTCACGATATTGGGCGGGGGGGGGGCTAATTCGAAAACGAGTTGGGATGTTGAAGCTGGGGTCAAAGGTCAAAGGTCAAGCGGTGTAAAAAGAAGGGGAACATTCCCTCCTTAACTTAAAGTATAGGGAGGAAATGCAGAATTGCGCGGCATAAATCTATACGGCTCGACCTAGGCTCGTGATAGCCGTGTATAGGCATCAATGGTAGGAAAGCCATCACTGTGTCGAAATTGAGTCACAGGCTCTCAAGGTCAATGGGCACAGGGCAGATTTTAGACATTTTCTGAGGACATGGTCTGAACGAGCCGATTGGAAAATCATTTTATAGGTTTTATTGAAAGGACCATGAAATGTACTTTCCGCTGACAAGCGAAGAGTAAGTGTCGGATAACCTTTTGACCCTCAAGAGGAGGCGTTAAACATGGATTTGTTGACTGTTAACAAAGACTGGAACTGCTTTGCTGATTAGAGCCCCCTCCCCCCCATCCTCCACTTTCCCCTCTTCCACCCCCCTCCCCCGCCCCCTTCCCCACCCTCCCCCACCCTCCCCCTCCTACCCCTCCCCACCACCACCACTACGCTCGCGCTCGACGCATATCCTTGATAACATGTTAATATAGCGAAGTCATTAAAGTTACACAGCTATATCTTTACTACTGTACTACAGTAGGTATAGCCTATCATAGATTTTTAGTATCTGTCATATCTGTATTAGTAGTAGTGACTGTCCCGATGATCCGAGTTATAATCGAAAATCGATCGATTATAGTCTCAAATTCGATAATCGATTATGAAAACAAATAATCGATTATCAAAATACCAAACAAAAAACAAACAAATTTAAAAAATTACTAAATCCGCAACATGGACATGTATTGGTAGCGAAGTAGAAGTGCATCAGTGTGTAGTCCAGAGACACCCTTCATGAATCACTGCTTAACATAGGTCCTGTTTGATGGCAGAGCTGTACTTAGTGTACTTATAGACATGGACAAATTGGACAGTCTTTGTTTTTACGCTCATACTGAACGCAGTCAGATCGCCAGCTATGTAGAATCGGCTTGATCGTGCCGTCCGTGCCGTGCGTCTCGTCCGTGCGTCCGGCCGTACGTCCGTGCTCAAACAAGTTGGGGAACAAAAACGACGTGACGGTCACGATATTCGGGAGCGTCGGGGGGATCGTGCAAAACGAGTTGGGCTGTCGAAGCTGGGGTCAAAGGTTCAAAGGTCAAAGCGTGTAAAAGAAGGGAACAATTCACTTCCTTAACTTAAGTATAGGGAGGAAACTGCAGAATTGCGGCACAAATCTTAAACCGCTCGACTAGGCTCGTGAAGTCCTGTGTATAGCAATCATGGTAGGAAGAGCCACAACTCACTGTGCCGCAAATGGAGGTCACAGTCAAAGGTCAATGGGCACAAGGGCAGATTTAGACATTTTTCTGAAAGACTGGCTGACACGCAAGCGCGAGTTGAGAAAAACCTTTCTTCTGTTTCAGCGGTGACCGCTAAGGCATTTTTATGGCCTTTAATTGAAAGGACCATGAAATGTCCCTTCTAGCTGACATGCGAAGAGTAAGTTGTCGGATAACCTTTGTGACCCCTCGAAGACGGAGGGTAAACATGGATTCTGTTGACTGTTAACAAAACGGAGTTGAACTGGCTTTTGCTATTAGGCCCGCCCTCCCTTGCCCACTCCTGCCCCTCCTTCCTCCCCCACGCTCCCCCCCCGCCCCTGCCCCACCCCCTCCTCCCCGCCCCTCTCCCCCACCCTCCCCCACCGCCTGCCCCCCACCCTCCCCCTACCCTCCATACCTGCGATCAGTGGGCGTGTCCTAACAATGCTGTGTACGCAACTGCGGTCTGCATATCTGCGCCTAACTAAATGTTACTACCAACGACTTGAAATTTACGTTTATAATCGTAGCAACAGACCTCAGATGAGGCCCAGACGCTACTGCGGCTGCTTGTGGTTTGACACCATGTCGCCACAGATGTTATCCGTAGATGACAGATTCTACCTCCGTAATTGTTTGTTACATTGGAGAGGATATTCCATTGGCAGGACATTAACTCGGCTACACAGCCTACACTATTAGAACACAAACAACTTACTTACTATAATAAAGAACAAGTCTTGATCATGTTTGTTTAAAACTTTTAATGTTTTAATAAAGGCATTTAAACCATTTCTTTTTAAATTGATTAAATACTGTATAGGAACAGTCATTGATATACATACAGCAACCTTCACAGAGTTAATACATGATCATAAAACATGATAATATTGAATGCTATGTATAATTGTATATACAAAGTAAGATTAAATTAAATCTATGCTATTATTAACCGATTATCCGATTATAATCGATTATCGATCGGTTAAGGGAAACCGATAATCGATTATGAAATTCCAGCCGATTCCCATCACTAATTAGTAGTATCCTAGATATATGCTCTGAGCGAGAACGCGGTGGCAGGAGGGCGCACTTGATTTGGTTGCCATTGAGTTTATCAGAAGAATACCTGGCTACAGTACCCGTCAGTTGAGCGCTGTCGCTCTGCGGCACTTGTTTATTATAATAATGTTTTACCCGAGTTTATTCAGTGTTCTCATCCATTTGTTCAAACCTTCCTTTGTCACACATCGTAGCAGCCATCAGTAGCGAGAAGCCGTGATTATGCTAGGTGGCTGCATTCTTCAGCGGTCAATATTGATTTTTAGTGGGCTACATTGATTTTTATGTCATGACACATGACATGTGCTGCATTTATTACACAATGTGGTATTTTTCACAGCCATATAACAAACATGGGTAATTGGGTATTATAATGATTAAATGGAACAATCAATGAATTGTAGTGCTCACATAATATCAGTAACATCACACCAGAGTGGATGGTTGAAATGCATCTAACCCTAACAGACTGTTACTGAGATTAGTGCCTTTTTATTTCTCTATTTCAGGCACTTCAGGTTGATTTCTACTCGTGCAGTGATGAGGATACGGAGTCTGTTCCGGAGTTCAAAGGCTTTGCATACATCCTGCCTGTGAACATGCGTCACCTGAATGGTTGTAGATTCATTCCCATCACTGGACTTAGACACTCTAATATTGGCCAACTAGAAGGTTCGTAATAATCAATCACTTCTGAGATGTGTGTGAGTTATTTGTTATGTAGAAATTGAACAGGATTTACATGTAGTCACCATGGGAAAAAGTGCAAGTCGACATTTCCATGGAGTCTGTGTGATGCATAATATATCATTGGAGTACGTTTACACACACCTGTGTAAGTTAATAGCAATGAGTCCTGGTTTACAAGAGTCATTGTTGCAAATGCTGAGAAATCAAATACTGATTGGGATATAATGACTTTGACATTATTTCAAAATTAGTTGTTACTGCTTGAACGTCGACAGCATTATTTGGTTTACGGACATAATTTTACCTGTTTAGGCTGGGTTATAGTAGAATAAGGTGTTTTATGCATGTCCAGTTTATTGTTCATTGTTTATTGGCACATGTATTATGTTCACTGATAGTTTTCTTGTTACAGTGGAGTACCTCGTCATTAAACCGACAGAAGGGATCACTTTCAACATGGAGGTCTCTTATAACCAGTACTGGAAGCGGCGTTGGCGCCCTCTAGATGTTGGTCACCGGGGCATGGGTTCCTACTACAATAAGAAGCGGTAAGTAATTAGCTAGATCCTTCTGCTGTGAGTTCCTGCTCGTCATTGTTCAACTCACTCAAATAATCGGAAGCAGCTATTCTACATGGGATGGTCTACACATGCAAGTACATCTTCTGACATCCTTGGCTTATATGTTTTCTTTGTTCTTCCTCCATCCAATCATGAACTTACAATTATATTGCACAGACGTAAAACGTAATTGTACTATAACAGGGTGCGAAATTAACGGGAGTCCGGAGTCAAATACTCCCTGATTTACTGTCGGACTCCTTGATTTGACATATGCAGGAGTTCGTGTGACTCCCTGAAAATTGTGCCATGCTAACTAGTTCGTTCTGGAGCACGGCCTCGCGGAATTACCTGTATTTTTTCAGCTAATGTCCAAAGAAAATTTGGCAGGCGTGCAACTGCATGAATCTTAAAAATAAGCACCCGTTGGACTCCCTTATTCAAAAGTTAATTTCTACCCCTGCTATAACGTAGACTACACTGTCACAATTCGTTAATTCCAACTATGTTGTCAATGTTCAAGCAACAAATTCATGTTCAACTTTAATTGCTCCCCAGAAAGCATATTATCAGCCTTTGCACCGATGATATCTTGTACAATTTGGGACTAGCATCGATTAACATCTACGAGATTCTGTCATTGGTTTGGGTTTCATGTGGTTTAAAACTGAACAAATGCAACATTGGCACATGTAGCTAATCTGATGCAGTGAAGATTAGTAGCTAGCTGTCTGGTGAAGATTTAATTGCCTCTGAAAAATAGACGTTGGTGTTGGTGGAGTTTGGTTCATGAGCAGTGTATAGTCATCTTAGAAGACGTGGTCCTAACATTAGGAACAAACACCAAAGACGATTTCTTCTTGCTCTGCAGAACCACATGTACCAGGGACAAACTCCTTTTGTGGCTCAGCAATTTGTAGTATTTTTTTTGCAGCTGCCAGGGCCGTTCGTAAAATCAGTGTAAATTCAAGAAGAAAATTTGGGGAAAGCTATTTTTGAAGCATGAATATTTCAAAAATCACTCTCATTTCTAATAATGATGTATTATTTAATTATATATTAAAAAAACCCACTCTTTAAGATAATATGAATTAATGTTCAGATGGCACCAGAATCCACTGCATAGCATCCATTTATCAAAATTTTCTCTATGGGAACTCTCTACTCAGCATGTAATAGCAACCTTGGGCATTTGCCATGAGTGGTTTTGGCACTTACACTCAGTGGTCAGTATTTTTAGTCTTTTCTTCTTGGGCCATTCGAATCCCTGATGTACATACAATATATATATATATATATTACAGGGCACGAAATTCAGATTTTTTGCACCGGCCCAGAGGGATGGTAACGGTCATTTTTACCAGCCCTCACCATAATTTTCCAGCCCTCACAAATTTATTTGTAAAATCAATGTCACGTTTCACGCTTGCATTCTTGCAATTTGTAAAATGTTGATAATTTATGGCGTGATATCCTTCAGGTAAAACTATAAATAAAAATGTAGGTACTCGCTAACACGGCTGAAACCACCGGCTTGGAGGGCCGGTGTTTTGCCAATGTTACCAGCCCTCCAAATAACTTGCCGGCATATGCCGGTGGGCCGGTGCTAATTGTGCGCCCTATATTATGGATGATGCTCATACATGCCTTGTGATGTAATATAATATACTGATATAACTGTGTGACACGTGTTAGATAATTGTTCTACCTGGCTGTGCAGTGGTATAATTTTTTGTCATTTTGTAGGATTGCTGTGGCCAGGGAGAATACGATTGCATCGTTGAACTATGCAGGGAAACATGTTAGTACATACGTGCTTATATAATGAAGTGTTTGTTTTTATTATCATTAATTGTGGATCAATGTGTTGATGTGAAAAATCTGAAGATGAGTGGCCTGCATTGGTCTTGGTTTTGACCACAGTACTGGCCACTTATTAATTTTTTTATCTGATCATGCTCATGAGATGTAAACGTATACACGGCAGTTTTAATTTTATGACAGGCTTCGCTGTCCTGTGATATATGCCTGGTGATATATCTATGCTATTTTTCAGGGAGCTGACTTTGTAGAATTTGATGTGCAATTGTCCAAAGACATGGTGCCTGTTATCTACCATGACTTTTCTGTTTTCATCTCCATGATGCGAGTGAGTGTGCATGTGCTTCTCTTAGCAGGGACTTTATTACAGGTTTTTGCACTATGCATTTTAAATGTATGAGGTAGCACTTCATTTCTAGAGGTGTGGGTTAAGAGAAGACTATTGCTATAGGGTAAGGATTTACTAAGGAGTATTTCCTTTGGGTGAGGATGCATGGTATCCTAGGGTGTTGCCTTTGGATGCTAAGAGGGGTAATAGGTGTTAAAGCCGCACAATGCGCATCCAAACGCTAATTTCTCCAGTACTAGACTAGCAAATACTTCGTGTCATGCATAATCACACTACCTTATGACAAAATAAACTCGATCTAGTTGCTCGATCCAATTTCACTGCGCGTTT